TTCTCTGTAAAGTTTTAGAGAATTTTAAACATTCACCATGTATTTGCGTCAGCCTTTGGATATGCTGGCGACTGACCTGTCCCCACTCACCCGCGTCTGTGTGCACTCACAGAGCTGCACGGGTGCAGGAGGAGGAAGGGAGGAGACTAGAGAGAGGCAGAGGAATCTGATCCCGGGACAGAGGACTGAAGTAGGAGTCCAGTACTGCGGAGCAGTCAGTAGAAAGGGCTGAGTGCTGACACGGTTTGGTGAAGTCGATGTTCCTGACACTGGTGAATCCTGGTGGCGTGCTGGGAGGAAGTCCGGGAGGGGCTGAGGAGACAGGTGGGGCAGGCGACCATGGCTTTGGACTGCTCTTTTGAGTTCTGTTAAGGAAAACAGGCAGCCACTTCGGGAAAAGGAGCAGAACAGCTTGTCAGAGCTGGCAGTGTTCCCGTTTTGTGATAGCCCTGGCCCCTCAGAGTTAGCTGGTCCAGGACACCCTTCCCTTGCAGACACTTCCAGCTCTTCACTTCTCCTGTTGGGATCTTTCCAGGCTCTCTGACAGTCTGACCTCTGCTGACCTCCCTGGGCAGTGTGCCCTTCCCAAATAGCACCTTTCTGTTTCCCCATGTGCCTGCCACAGGGCCTTGCACACACTGGCTGCTCCCTGCCTAGTCACACACCACGCACACCCAGCCTGGTTTTTTTGAGATTGGGTTTTGCTGTGCCATTCAGGCCGGCCTTCAGCTCACCTTCTAGCCCAGACTGGCCTCAAACTGGAAGTGATCCTCCTGCCTCAGCCTCCCAAGTGCTGGGATTACAGGCGTGTGCCACCATATCAGGAATGGTTCACTAACTTTCTCCTCTCCTGAAGCAGTGGGTGGCTGCCTGCTTTCTGCCCCTTTCTGCTATACTTAAGAACATACAAACCAGCTCTGGCTCAACCAAGTGGCCCCACAATTGAACCTGCCATTGACTGGCTGTGCCCAAAGCAAGCAGGTGGGAGCTGGTGCTGGAGCCCAGGGAAGTTCTGGGAAACAGCAGCATCTGCGGTAGGCTGGCACCGTCAGCCAGCCGAGGCCAGCTAGCTCTAACCCGGGACTTCTCAGAATGGTCCATGAACTTCCATTTATCCAGCTGGGGTTTTCTTGGTATTTCACTTTTCAGTCCTGGATGATACAGTTGTGGCTCAGATTAAATGTCACTATCAAAGCCTTTACCAGTGTAACAGGTCTTCACTCTTAGTTCTCCGCATTCTCATCCCTCATACTGCTTGGATCAACCTACAGTAAAATACTTGCTGGGAGTATTTTTAAGTTCTCCTGCCCGTTCTCCTGCCCCTGGATCACACACCGAGAGCAAAGGCTTGCTTGCTTATGTTCATCTCCTTGGTACCTAGCAAATGGAGTTGGTAAAAACATCAGCTACTGAGGTTTGACTCTGTCGGGAATGATTGTGAATAATTCTTGGATTGTTCTCAAGCAGGCACCTGATTTTTCAGGTGAGGAGACTGAGCCTTGATAACTACCTGCCTTCCCTTTCCCATCAGTACGTAGAAGGCTGTGAGCTCCTCTGCTGCACCGTTTACTGAATCAGTCACAGGTATTCTGGAGGACTTAAGCAGCTCATGGCCATCCCCAGAAAACTCATCTGACCACACAGCATTGCCGTCGGTGGCCATTTTTCTTGGCAATATTTTTTTCTGGTTGCCTTTTACCATTTATCTGTGTGCCTTCTTCCTTGCTGGGTTCCTACGACTTCGTGATTTTAGGGTGGCAGGCCTGCAGTACCTGATGAAGATGGGCCACTCAGAGTGCTAAGGGAAGCTCATCGGGAATGTGAGAGTACAGCACATTTCCTGCCAGCTTTCTCTAGCTGTAGTGTGACTTTGAAAAGCCCCTGGGAGATTCACTTATTTTTTTTTCATGGTACTGAGGAATGAACCAAGGGCCTTTGCACTGAGCAATACCTTTACCCTTTTGTAAGACAGGGTCTTGATAACTTACTTGCTCAAGCAGGAGTTGAACTTTTTTTTTTTTTTTTGTCTTTTTCGTTTTTATCGGTACCAGGGATTGAACTCACGACTGCCTGCTTGCAAGGCCGGCGCTTATGCCGCTGAGCTAAATCCCCAGCCCCAGGAGTTGAACTTTTGATCCTCTCACCTCAGGCCTGACCAGTATTGGATTACAGGCATGTGTTGCCATACCTAGCTAATGGCTTTACTCATCACATTTTATGAAGTGTTCTTCAAACTCAGCTTTGTTTTAACTGGGAATCCAACTCACACGCTGGCGCTTGCCAGGCAGGCTCTGTGTCACCGAGCTGTATCCCCAGCCGTTTTTTCTCTTGTTTCTGGTACTGGGAATTGAACTCATGACCTTGAACTTGCCAGGCAGGTGCTGTGCTGCTGAGCTATATCCCAGTCCCCAAACTTGGTTTTAACTGGGCACCATGGTATGCAACCTAAGCAGAGTTGGAAATTCTGAAGAGCAAAAATGCTTCTTCCACTTACTTCAAAGGAGCTAATATCGCTCACTGTCCACCAGCCTATTGGACTGCTAAATTTTGAGTTGTGGGCATTGCTGCATTATTTTACAATAAGTTCTGTATAAGTGGGGGTCAGGGATGTAGCTAAGTGGCACAGCACCTCCTTGGCAAGTGTGAGGTGGTGAGTTCAATTCCAGGTTGCGCACACCAAAGAAAAACTTTGTTCTTTAAAAAAAAAATTGTATAATATCTCTAGGCAAGGACATTTATGAATATAACATAGTATTAAAATTGCTTTGAGGTTTTAGCCTGTCTCTAGCTCTCTAGGATTTTTAACTGGGAAAGAAAATATCCACGTCTCCTGTCGTTACAGAACAGCCTAGTCCCTAGTTGTCTCACCAGAATAAACACGCTTCCTTCAGACTTGTTTTATTAGTCTCAGAAATCATAGCTACTGGTGAAAGTAACCCATCTGGGCAAAAAGACGAATTGGATCCATTACCTGGCTGTTGTTATCACACTGGAACTGGACGCCATGATCATCTGGATGTTGCGGTTTGTATTACAAACTACATACACCATGTCTACTAAGAGATGACTGTTATGGCAGACACTGTATCTTCAGCGTGACTTTAGTATCAACTGGTGTGGGTGGAGCCAGACTGTGATGGAGGATGAGGTCCGTTTGCCCTACTCTTGGCGGTACTGGGGATTGAACCCAGGGCTTTAGCACTGAGCCTTTTGGACACAAGGTCTACCTCCTCAGCCTGGCCTCAAACTTGCACTCCTACCCCGCTTCCCTGAGAGGGACTTGAGGCGTGCACCGCCACACCCAGCTCTTCGCGCCTGTGCTGGAGAGCAGGGCTGTCACCGGAATAAACCACCAGCAGCATCTCAGATGAAAGGCTCAGAGAAACAACCTGTGGTCAGCTTAGCAGTTAATCACTGAAGTGGTTAGGTTCTAGAAGCCTGACTGAATGCCGCCTTTTTAGTTTCACTGGACTTTGTATGCAAAGGGGTAGGCCAAGTTCAGCTTTTTATTAAAGTACAATGGTTTGAACCCGAGAATTTTAAACCTGGCCTAAGAGTTTCAGTAGCTTTGTCCCCCTCACATGTGTACACACCACATACACAACGGGTACGGAAAACATTACCCGAGACAACAGTCTGGGCACAGAGTAGTCTCGGGTTTGTGGGAAAGCTTCAGCGCTCAGTGAGGCAGCTGGCAGATTAACACTAAGAAAGGTGCTGTCATGGGGACCATTTATTTTATGTGTGAGGGAACAGTCCAATTATCTAAGCCACCTGTACTTTTGGCAGAGACCTGCAGCCTATCTGTAGAGGAAGAATTCCAGCTGGAACCAAACAAAGTGGAACTGGGCAAACCAGCCCAACTATTTTATGTGGGAGCATGATTTGGATTCTACGAGAACCTTTGTAAATAAAACTTTACAGCATATAAAAAGTAACCTTTACTTAGTTCCTACCCACTAGATCCACATAGTAAATCGTATTTCCTTCCCTCCATCAAATGGAAAATGGTCATTGCTGTTCTCCAAATAATCAGGAATTTTTCATCTAAAAATGTAAGTAAACAATCTAAGGGTTGCGTGGGGTGAACTTTAGCATCACAGAGCCACTAAATCTAGGTTCCAAACTTACATCTAATATTATCTGTCAGGCATCACCCTAAACCTTCACAAGTATTTTTTAGACAGTTCTGCAGGCTAGTGTCAATTAAGTAGAAACTTGATTCAAGCAATGTGTCCTAGGCTGCAGAGCCCTGGCGGAGTCGGGATGTAAATGTTTTGTTCCGCTGGTCTTAATCACCTCTCTTAACATAAAATTCTCAGTGCCCACCAACTGCCAGTGTGAGGCTCCAGGTTCCGTTCTCCCCAGGGGCTTTCTCAGGTCTTAAGTCTTCCTATCCTTCCCGACCTCCACCCTGTCCTCTGCATTGGTTCTTGCCTTTAGAATGCCCCCTTCCCTTACTTGTAAACATCAGGGACTTCACTGTAGCTCTGTTCTTTTTCTAACCTTAGGTCCCGTATCCCAATCAAGGCAAAACAATCTCTTCCAACCCAGCTGCTTCCTCAACTTGCTTTGGCTCATACTGCTCTAAAAAGCATCTATTAGGGCTGCATATAGCTCAATGAAGCACTTGCCTAGCACTGCATGAGGTGTGGGTTCATTCAGAAATAAGTTAAAAAGGAAGTAAGTTAAAAAGGCTTAGTTCTATACAGCAAATTTGTGTTTGGTCTCAATCCCATGGCTTCCTTGTTCTAGGCTTAAAATACCCCTCTCCTTAGTATGAGCCCCCAAAATGACCAAAAATCTTATTCCCGTGCTTCTATGAACTCTCTCAGGCTGATTGCACACATATATTTAACAGTACATTTCTTCACAAAATGCTAAGGATATGTTTCTTCATATTTTACAGACTTTCTATTAATATATCACAGTACACCAAGTCTAACTCCTAAATAGATGCATTCCAATTTGTTTAGAATTTAAAGGCTTAATGGCAAAAATCAGGGGAGGAAAACAGTAAGTTTATTTTACATAGTTGGGTGAAAAATAAATTTGAGAGGGAGTAGATACAATTTAATACGGTCTCATGCGCCCTGAAGGAGGTGGTGCCCGATTGGGAGGGGTGATCGCTATGTCCAAGTAATCGCCTATTTGGAACTTCTGTGACTGCAGGGTCATGGAGTCATCTGTCCCCTTTCGGCCAGACATGGTGCTGCCAATCTCCTTCACTCTGCAGCAAAAGAAACCAGCTGTTAATGCACTATCAACCCACGAGAGGACTAAGTAGAAACACAGGGCTAGGTTGCTCTCATAACACAGTTCAAGATTTAAGGACTATGTCACGCTAAGCTAGATAATGAAGACAATGTAAACCTATTGCCATCCACCCCACTAAGGAGACTGTTGAAGGGAGTATTCCCAACATTAAGACGCTGCCAAAAAGGGTTACAGGATCAAAACCAAGAAGTAACCTACCGATAGCCAGGTCTTTTAAGATCCATGAAAACAATTGCGAAATTGAAGTGTGTGCCCTTCTTTCTAGCTTCTGGGTAGACTTCTTTTACTAAACTAGTTAGTTCCTTTAAGGTTGCATCCATCCTGAATGTTTAAAAGAAAGGCAATTAATTGATTTAATCAGCAATAACGTAACCAGAATACTGAAAAACAAGAAGTTATTACATGTTCGAGTTGTGACTTATGTCAGAAAACTACCAGAGTCCTATAATAATGATTTTAAAGCAGCTAAAAATACTATTTGCTTCTAATACTCCCTGTACTGTTCATAGCCTTGAGTGTTGGACACTTAGACAAGTTAAAGCCAGACCATCAGGGCTAGCAAGGTAGCTCAGTGGTACAGCACTTGACTAAAGTCTTTGAGGCCCTAGGTTTGGTCCCCAGCACTGCATCAGAAAAAGCCAGACTTGCTAAAAGAGATTTCAAAAATTCTGTATGTTATCTTGTATGGCTATAGAACATTTTAGAGCTTATGAGTTACCTCTTTTAAAAAATAGTTCAAACTCATTTAAATACACAAAATAACTTTCATTATTTTTAAGAAACATACTCTTCCACATCTTAAATTTCCCAAAGTGGATGGAGAAGTACATCTTCAAATCAATGTGCTAGGAAAGCATTTCTCAGGTCTTAAAATGGTAAGTCTTAGATGGCATTTTACAACGAATTTTATAAGAGATGGAGCCATAGAGCCTATGACATACATTAAATTTAGAAAGAAATCACAGGTTCCTTTCATATAGATTCTTACCCTATAAATATTTACTTGAACATAGTTCCCTGAGTTAAGATGGCAATCTGGAAAAACCTTTTAAAATATAAGCATTCAGAAATAACTACAACCAAGGGTAGGACAATGACATGGATGGAACTTGCCAACAGCAGTGCCTATAGAGAGCAGCCAAATGGCACAAGGATACTAGGCACTTAGCAAAGAAAGAACTCGTGATGTGCATCAAGGAGCAAATCAAACTACTGAGCTCATTTAGTTCCAGCTCTGTACCATTTACAAATCTCCATCACACCAAATGCAAGTAATCAATGGCTTCCCCTATACTGTGCAAAATATACACAAGGCGGTCATAGCATCTTCCATGTTTACCACACAGAACTTCCTCAGTATTACCAGAACAGAACACAACAGTCTTCTCCCTAAAACACTCTTCGCACCTTGGAATGCTAAAATTGGAATGCACCATACACTCAATACGCCACCACCCATCTATGCCATATCACCCCACGCTTGTTCATCTTCTCGGTCCCAAGTTACAAGTACTGCTGTTTCTGCTGTATTAATGCTAATTTGTTTTTTCTCCATGCTTGCCAATACAGCCTGATTTCAATCTTTCATTATTTTTAATTATGTATATGCTACCTTTGTCTATATCTCAGATTTTTTAAAGTTTTTGTGTAAAAATGGCATCTTGAACAACTGCCACCTTTACAGAGGAGTCATATCTAACACAGCAGCCGCAGTCCCAGGTGATTTTAGGTAGCTGTTATAGCTCCCAAAAGGGACATGACGACTCTGGTGGGAACAATGGTTTACTCATGTAAACATCCCTTTCAATAATGAGCAAAGCTCCCCCAATGCTAGTTGGTCTTGCTCACAGCCACACTGGGAGATTTGGGAGGTAACATACACAGCCCAGAGCTCCATAGGCAAAGCTGCAGCCCCATTCGCTCCCAGAAAGCAACAGAGCAGAGGGCTTGGCCAGGTGCTGAGCCACCACAACACACCCCACCCCACCATAGCATACCCACCCCACACACCATACCCCACCCCACACCCCTACCCCACTCTATCCCACACCACCTCACACATACCACACACACACACACACACACACACCACGTTAGCATAACAAAGAAGGCACAAGAGCCTGGAACAGGGAAAAATACTCCCAAACAGACAGGCTAGCAGGTCTCTGTCAGCTCTTGGGAAGTACCAGTTCCAACTCCTGGGGGAGGGGAGGGAGGGCAGTTTATGCACCTGTAACTGTGCAGACTGTGTTTCCCAACTCCAGATACACCCATCATCTCAGGGGTAGGGAAGGCCACATGCAGGAACGCAGTAAATTGTATCCCAGAGCACCCAGGGATGTTAAATTAACATCACTGTAGGCATCCTCTGTGTACACACACAATACAGTGCTAGAGAAAAATTTAAGATAGGGCTGGGGATTTAGTTCAGTGACATAAAAGTGCCTGCCTGGCAAACGCAAGCTCTTGTGTTCGATCCCCAGTATCAAAAAAAAAAAAATTCAGATACCAAGCATATGATAACACTGACTGTATAATTCATATCACACAAAGTTTAATTAAAAACTAAATTTTACTCTACCAGAAGAAAGTCAAATAGCTGTAAAATGTTAGCTACATTACCGTCCTTTCTCTCATGTAAATCTGGAGCCTGTTGTTTACTTTGTCATGTTTTATTCTGCAGCCACACAGTTAACCCTACTTATTCTAATCTCATCCCAATGAATTCTGATGCTGTCATAAACTCTGAAGTCAGACCAATTTTCTTCTCTGTCTTGAAGGTGACTTCTTAAAACTCTGTATCCTTGATTTTTCTTCTTTGTCAATTATTCCAATACACAATGAACACTTGTATATCAAAATGGACTTATTTCCATTCTTAAAAACATTTTCTTACTGTCACTGTACTCACAATGTGAGAAGTGAAAAGATCACACTATTCTATACATATATTCAACAAGTACTTCCAAAAACAGACAAAGCCCCAATCTTCAGAGGACTGAGTTCTAGTGTACTGGGTTTATATTTAAAATCACACACATTTTGTTTTTTTGGGAAAACAAAATCCTCCAACTGCTGTGAAAAAAGATGACGGCACTTCAAAAAGTTAAAATAACTACACAGCCATTCTGATACCCCCAAAGAATACGGGGGGGGGGGGGGGGGGGGTGAAGCGCTACACTTGGCTGCCACAGCAATGTCAGTCATTAGAGCAAAGACAGTGGCAACCCAGTGTCCACGATCAGATTAGACATGTAAAATATACAGGTATACACACAAACATAATTCTGAGTGTTACAACACTGACGAACCCTAAAAACATGGTAAGTGAAATAACCCAGCCACAAAATGACAAATATTGTAATGAGTTTACTTATGTGACTCATTACTTATAGGCAAATAACTATACTCAGAAAGCAAAGCAGAAATTATTGCGGGAGGGTACTGCAAGGTTACTGTTTAATGGGTGCAATGTTTCAGGTCGGAGGGTTGAAAAGGTTTAGAAATAGTGATTCCAATAAAAAGTGAACTGTGCAACAATGTGAACGTTAATGACATCGACTGTATCCATAAAAATGGATAGTGGCAAACTTCATATTATAGATTTTACCTTAGCAAAAGTGTTTTTGAAGTACACACCTGTCACCCCTGCTAAAGCGCCACTCATTACGGTGTCAACTAAAAGAGGCACTTAAAGATCAGGTGCACGCAGGGTGGCCCTGGGCAGCTCGTGGGGAGGTGAGATTCTCGGGCACCAGCTCTCTCTAAACACGCACCAAAAGCTTTTCCATTAAGTTCCTGGGCAAAACACTTGCTTCTTTTTTTTCTCCCTATGGCACCTAAGGCTATTAAGTGAAAATACCCTTTAGTAACAAGCATGACTCAGTATCACTCCCCTTACCGTGTTAGTTTAATACCATTTAGTCACACAGTCTTTTCCTATCAACAGGTACAATGGTGGCAGGAATGCTGGATCTGTTTCTGCAGCAGTGGTAACTGAATCCGGGGTCTCTCAGCTGAGCTACATCACCAGCCCCTCAATAATTTTAATTCTGAAACAAGGTCTCGCTAAATTGCTGTTACCCACATTAGGACTCGAACCTGTGACGCTCCTGCCCCTGCCTCCCAGAGTACTGGGATTACAGGCGTTGCCACCACGCCCGGCGGGTATATTAATATTTAATAACCCCAAAATCTCAACATTAATTCTAACGTTGCAGGCTGGCAAACTCCCTTCTCTATCAAAGCTAAACCCTGTGCCCTGGGCGTCGCTCTCCAGACTCGACCTCCCAGAAGGAGATCAGCGCGCACAGCCGCCCTCACCAGGTGTAAATCTGCAGCTCGCTGGACGGGACGTTGCCGCGGGAGAACTCGTCCATGCGGTGGTGCCGACCGTTGTTGGTGGTGAAGACCCGGAGCAGCAGCGGACATGTCTGGAAAACAGAAAGGCTGGCGTGAGAACCAGCAGCGGAGCGTCGGCAGCTCACCGCCCTTCAGCCCTTCCGGGGCCGCCACGGCCTCCGAACTGCGCGGGACACGAACACCGCTCCTTCCCCACACAGCGCGCATCCCTCGGCATGGCAGGCGCCACTGCCACTCCAAGGCGCCCGCGCTCCACCTTCTCGCGGTCGATTGGCTTCTCTGGTTCCTTCTTGATCTCCTCCTGGGTAACGCGCGACTCCACCGCCATCTTCTTCCTTCTGCCCGCCAGACGCTCGCCCTGACCTCCGACCCCTGCCGCTAGCATGAGCACGGAGTATCTCGCGAGGAAAAGCTGGAGGCTTTATAGGGGCCGGGGGGCGGGGCGTCTGTCCACACAGGCGCACTTCACAGGGCGCGACGGGAGCCAAATCCGGGTGCGCATGCGTGTTGCGTCCTCGGGGGGTGGGGGCGGAAAAAAAGGCGGGCGCGGTGCCCGCAGGGTGGGGCCTCAGAGAAGCGAGCTGGTCTATTGTCTTGTTGAGGTGTTTGTCCCCTTAACCGTTTCCTGGCGATACGAGTTCAAAGCGACGTTTTCTTAGGTAATGATTGAGGTCTTAACGAACACCAAACGCTTAAGGATATAACAGGCTATAGGCAAAAAGGAGGAAACATCGAGCGCCTCATTGTAACAACTGACCACAGACTGCGGAGGGCGGAAGCCGCATCAGCGGAGTGACGGTGGCCAACATGAAGGACAGGCGCGCCTGCGCGGTAACGAGAACACGAGGACGCGCCTGCGCAGTAGAAAGTACACGAGGACAAGGCGCGAGGGCCTCTGGATGTGGGCTGCGGCGGGACAAGGCCTCCGCGATGCCCGGAGAAGAGTGGCCTGGGGCTGAAGGTGCTCGCGGAGCACCAGCGTTGACCCAAGCTACTCTCCAGGTTGTGTAAGAGTTTAAAAAGCCCAATCCAAAAATGGGTAAAATAACCAGAGTGCTTTAAAAATGAAGAAAGCCAAGATGGGAACATTTCCTCCAAGGTAGTCAGAGTCTTTACTAATCAGGAAAGCGTGTTAGGCCATGTGACTGATTTTAAATGAAGCGTCCCCATTAGATTTCAAAACTAAGAAACGGAGTATAGCTGCTGTTGGTGTTCATAGAAATTGTCACGCCCTGCTGGCGGAAATGGAAAGTGGCACAGCTATGGAAAGTAAGCGAGGATTACTTGGTACAGTTGAAGACATACACATACGCTTTGGTTTTTTAAGACAAAGTCTAGCTGTGTAGTGCAGGCTGCTCTTGAACTCATCGAACTCACCCGATCTTCCTGCCTCAGCCTTCCAGGTGCTCTGACTACCCAGTGTGCTGCCATGATGGGCAGAAAAATTATATACTTTAGATCTAACGATCAGCCCCTTGTGCATATACATAGTGCAGAGAAAAATACTGCTCCAGTATAATGTTCTCAGAATTGTTAAAACTGGAAACAGGGCAAAGTGTTCATTGACAATACAATGATCACTGTGGCATCAAGACTACCAACAATGGAATACTTAGAACAAACATTTTTAAGACATGACAAACTGACAAACAATGATGAATTAACTGGGTGAATCCATTTTTACATTTGAAACAATACTAAAAATACATTCTTCAAGATAATTCTTAGTGATACAAGTATGAAAAGCACTGAAGCTAGGCTTGTTGGCCCAGACCTGTAATCCCATACTTGGGAGGCTGAAGCAGAAGTGAGTTACTGAGGTCTTGTATATAGAAACTAACAAATTTACTTTTTAAACAGCTGGAGGTGTAGCTTTGTGCAAATTTCCTGGGTTCAATTTCCAGCAAAAAAACAGTAGTAAAGCAGTGAAATGATTGCCACAAAGTCAGTATGGTATTTATGTCTGTAAAAGGAAAGCTTCTGTGATAAGAGGGAGCAAATGGAGGGCTTGAGTGGTTTCTAAATGTTAGTGGTAGTTACATAGTTATTTAAATTATCTTTTAAAACTACATTTATGACCAAGCGTGGTGGCACAAGCATGTAATCCTAGCACTCAAGAAGTCTGAGGCTGGAGGATTTCTGTGAGTTCAAGGCCAGCCTGAGCTACAGAGTAAGTTTAAGTCCTACATGAACTGCGTAGGGAGACCCTGTGGTAAAAAGACCACACACACACAAAAAAGGACATTTATTGAATTAACATTATATCTTGCTTTAAAGATGATAACCCCCATGTTATGGCTTGTAATCTAGGTGTTTCCTCAAAGTCTGTTTTTTGTTTTGTTTTGTTGTTTTTGAGAGACAGGGTCTCGCAGTTCAGGCTGGCTTTGAGCTCACTTTGTAGCCCCGGATGGTCTCAAACTCATAATGATTCTTTTGCCTCAGCCTCCCTGAGTGCTGGGAGTGGTGAGATTACAGACATGCACCACCATGCCTGGCTCCCCTCAAAGTCTTACATTCTTATAGGTAGAGCTTTTTGGAAGTCATTTGATGTAGGGTGTGGAAATAGGATTATGGTTATGTATAACTGGATTAGTCCCCTGATTGGATTAGCATGATTATAGGTGATGGAATTACTAGAGAGAAGGCCTGTCCTGGGTGTGGGTGGCACAAACCAGTAAGCTTGTAACCTGAATATAAAGGGAAAGAAGGATCCCTGCTCCTGCCTCCTACCTACCCTGTCATGGACTATTTCTCCTCTGCCATACCACTCTGTAATGCCACCTTTGTTTGGAACCTGCTGACTAAGGAATGAAACCTCTACAAATTGTGAACTAAAATAAACTTTGCCTTCTGTAACTTGTGGACTTCAGGTATTTTTTCCCCAGTGAAGAAGAAAGTAAGCCAACCCCACACCCGAAGAAAAGAGAATACTTATGAATCAATAAGACATAAAATCCAAATTAAATAATGGTCAAAAGATATGAACAGTTATTTCATAGATGATTAAACACAAAAATTGTGTAAATATGGAAAAACAATCTCATGCAGGGTACATGCATTTATTTATTTATGTATTGGAACTGGGAATCAAACTCTGGGCCTCACATTTGCCAGAAAGACACTGTCCACTGAGCTAATCCCCAGCTCCCCATAAAAGTGCATTTAAACCACAATCAGATTGTATCTCACTCTACTGGACTGACCAGAATGTAGAAGTCTTGACCAGAGCCAGGAAAGATAAAAAAAGGAGAATCCTTATAGCCTGCTTTCATCCACTTTGGAAAAGTGATTGGAGGTACCTAGAAATATTGGTCATGTCTACAGCTTAAGACCCCACTATTCCATCCTCATCTGTGCGCCAGAAAAAATGGCTGCACGTGATCACAGGCAACATTTTGGGTAAGGTTCTGACATCTTACTCATGGTAATGTGTTTAACAGGAATATATTCGTAAGATGGAATACTATAAAATTCATAAAGTAAGTGAGTTTTTTTTTGAGCAGGGGTTCAATTTGTAGTTCAGGCTGGCTTTGACATTACATAGCCCAGACTTGCTTCAAACTCATAGTGATCCTCCTGCCTCAGCCTCCCAGGTGCTCAATTTATAGGCACGTGCCATCATGCTGAGTCCTATACATTTTTTTTAAAGATAGTATCAGTCACAGAAGCATAGATATAAAAGAACTCCATTTATGCAAATCTCAAAAATAGAAAAAATTTCCCCCAAATATTGTTTAGGGTAAACACAAGAGTAAGTGGAGCAAAAGAATGATTAAGCCAGACACAAAAATATTATACTTTTACTTCTATGAGACATATAGAACAGGCAAATTCATACACCTAGAACATAAAGTAGAGTTTCTCAGGAGCACCAAGCCTCTGAGGTAATGGACATGTTCTGGATATGGGCTGCATAATATTGTGATTATACTTAATGACACTTATTTGTGCACCAAGTCGTAAATGTTACATACCAGTCATAAATATTACATAAATTTTACCATAATTTGAAATGTTAATAATGTGCATCTCTAATAAATAAACTACCCTGTCTTCTACTCCTTTTTAACATATCTCAACATTACAATTTGGGAAGGGCAGGTTGTCCTAATTAAACCAGCAATATGTGATGGGAAGTTTTACACAGTTACATAGGATAACTCCAACACAGTGCTGTTAGAAGGATGACTTTCTGATGGTAGGAAGGTAAATATTAATGAATGCTATATAAATACATTTGTAAGAGACTGAATTGCATGTATTATTCACAGAACTTTCTGATTCCTTATGTATTTATTTGCAGTGCTGGGGATTGAACCCAGTGCCTTGTACATGTATGGTAAGAACTCTCCCACTGAACCACATCCCCAGCCCTTTTCTTTATAATAATGTATCTTATGCATTCGAATCTCTGGGATTTTTAAAGCTTTTCAAATTCCTAAAATACATCCTTTCCTTCAGGGGTATCTGTAAGAGGTGAGGTCTATAGAATTTATAAGCACAGTATTTTTAGAGTTCTATTTCAGGGACAGGTGTATGTAAGTCATTTCACTAAAGTATCTGATTACTACCCAGAGTAGAAAAGAATAGGAAAATTTCTGGTACACTCCTGTAAGAATTAAGCTTGCTGGTAGATAATTGTTAACTTCAAATATAGGTTACTTTCTATCTGCACAGGAATTCTGTGTTGTCCCAGAGCACCCACATCTGTCTGGCCTGAGCTGAGGAGCAGTGTTGCCATGACCCAGTCCTGATGCTCCTAACTGGTCTTCCTGTGTCACCGCTACAGCCACTCATGCTACAGCTAGGGAGTAATTTTTAAAGACTGCTTCTCCTGGCGGGTGGGTAGTGTATGCCTGTAATTCTGGCACTCAGGATGCTGAAGTGGGAGGATCATTTAGAGCCTGAACTACACAGCAAGACCCTGACTCATAAAACCAACCAAACAAAGAAAACCCCTCTAATCTCCTTATTAAAGACCTCCAAAGCATCCCGTGTAATTTAAAGTAAAAAGTGACTGTCTTAACTAATGTTCTGCTGACCCTCAGCCCTCCTGTCCTGCTGTGCCCCAATTCTCCATGTGCAGTCACAGGCCCTTGCCTCAGAACCCAGGACAGTTACCCCACAGCTTCTGCTGTCTGAGGTACTCTCCCAGACCCTGCTCACCCTCGGTCTCCATTCACGTGATGAGCAAAATCATCAGGTGTTTCCCAAGCTCTGTAAGGGAAATTTACCCTCTGTTCCTGCTGCCCCCAGCAGTCACCCATTTGTTTATCACGGCACACTTCTTTCTGATCTGTCACAGCCCCCGTTCCTGAGGGCAGGCCCCAGAGCAGAGGGTCTGTTCCCTTTGTATTTCCTGCTCTTGGCCCAGTCCTCAGTGCCTAGCACACACTAATAATAAATAAAAGTCTTTATTAAAGGATGAATGATGATTCTTTATTAATGAATGAA